TGTATTTATTTCTGTGTGTATTTATTTAAACAGAGAGATGGATTTTAAAGATGTTGTCCAACTACAGAAGAAAAATAATAAAAATAAGCTGTAATTCTGAAAAGCCTGGGTAAAGTCCCTACTAGAGGAGAGAGGAAACAGCCTGAACTTATAAAGTGTCCATTCCCAGTGCTGTAAGTGCACATACCATAAATCACACTGGTGGTAGCTACAGCCTGCAAAACATAAGGGTGGGAGACAATGTCCCTGAAGTTTGGTTCTTCTAGTCTCCCACTTCAAGAGCACTTCAGCAACAAGTTTCGGGTATACATTGGCCAAGCTGGTGACAATGGGTTTGCATGTGGAAAGAAAGAATTCAGAGATATGATGACAGCTATGTATCCATATATAGATTCATCCCATAGAGGTAAATAAACTGGCTGGATTGCCTTTGGTGTTGGAACTGATCTTAACTGAGGTTAAAAAACCAAAAACAGTAACAAGTATTGATGTAATCCCATGATGCTTTGGCAATCAGCACCACAACAAAATTGTTACAAATAAAACACCACAAATAAAGAGATGGATATTTTATAAGAAGTTTTGACATGGTTTTGTAATCTCTTTGTAACACCAGCTTTCAATGTTTTACAAAATAAATATCCATTGTAATTTCCATAGGATTGCTATTTTTGCTGTTGGATTTAGGAAACAGAGGAAGCAGACAGAAACATAATGTATAGCAGCAAAGTAGTTTCTTTAACAGTGGATTGACTCTGTTGCAGTTATCTGAACTTCCCAGAGCTGGTTAATGCTCTTGGTATTGTTCCTAGCTTTGTAATTGTTTCTATCTCACTTCTGCCATTTTATGCAATGTACAGTCAATGGGTGAGAAATTAAGTAAATACACAAGAGAGGATCAAAATAATTTATACCACACCACAGGCATTTCAAGTCTTGCAGTCTGTGAGCAACCACTTGCTGAGCTGTATAGCTCAGAAAGGTAAAGTATACTCCATAAATCAGAAATCCAGGTTGAGGTTTCTGAAAAAAAAAAACCAAAAAAAAAACCACATTATTTTGCCAATGTTTTTATTAAAACCAGTACAAAATATGTAGTTTAACACAGGCTTTTTGCAGGCTTTGAAGGATTTGAGGATTTTGATAAAACAAACTTTGTTTAAATGAAAAAGTGGTGTATTTAAAAAGATATGTAGTTATCAAGCTTTCTAATAATTGTAATGATATTTATGCAAAACACTTTGCATAAACCAAAGAACTTACTGGATATCTGAAAATATATGACTATCAAACTGTGATGTATTTGTTTTAAAGGAATAAATGGTAATTGAGTATGTATGTGAAGTTAGTAATCACCAGAGGCAAAAACTGGACAGGCTGAGAAATCAAAATCTTCACTTTATCTGTAGAATGGATATATAGCATATTGCTGTATAATATTATATTACATGCTTGTCCTCGAGGCCATTATCTCAAGTAATGAAGGAGACAGAGCATTCCCCAGACCTCAAACCCTGATGAAGCAGCAAATGAGTGCCAGTTAAGGTGTTGTCTTTTTAATGATGTGAATGCATCTGGTAGAAACAAAGCCTCCAAATTAGCCTTTACTTAGGCCAGTGAGTAACTGTTGTGGGGTAACAATTTAATTAATTATTCTAGACTTTTTCATGTTTTGGTAAATGACACCTAGAAATAAAGTTTTTACTATTATTAAATGCAGATACCATGTACTGTGATTTGAATGCTGTCTTGTTTGCAGGTTTTTATCTGACTGATAAAACCCATGAATTTTTACCCAGCAATTGCAAGATAGCAAGGAAACTATGTTTATTCTGCTTAGTTTTGGGCTGTGTGGCTTGTGTCTGCTAATAACCGATACAGCTGCAAGATTATAAGAGGATGGGTACGAAATGATGAAATCAGGAATGTGTTTCAAGTACCATTTAGGGTGGAAAATCTACAGTTTTAAAATGCTTTGTGGTTCTAACAGTAATGCTGCTTTCATTACTACTGTACCTCAAATCATCAGAGAGAAAAGCTTCTGAAGTTAAGATTACCCACAGGATTTGTAAATCAGATTGATGGAAGTAATTGGTAAACTGCTTAATCAAGCCTTGCTTGGAGGTGAATAAGGACTGCAAATGTAGGTTGTATAAGTAACCCAATAAGTCAGCAGAGTTCTTTTTTTCTGAAAGAAACAAAGATAGCAGTAATTAATGACCCTGACTCTGTGCCAAAAAAGCTTTCTTCTGACAACTTCAAGTTAATTAAAACTTAAGACATTTCAATGGCCTCAGAAAGCCCCTGATGGGGTGAACTCTTGCAAACTCGTGAGAAAATTTTGTAAATTAAAGGAAAAGATGTGTGTTACCACTGGTGCCATGACTCTAATCCCTGGCAGTCAAAGAATCCATTTAGCCAAAGCCTTTTCTTTTAACTGGCTCACACCTGCAGGCTTACTGGCACTTCCTCTGTACCGGAGAAGGCAGTTTTTGTGTTT